TACTAGTGAATTTCTTTATTTTTACCAATTTACTGGTAAATTTAAAACCCGGTAAAAGCTCAACCCTATGTATAACGAGTAAAGTTACATTAACTTGCGTTGCACTTTTATCTTATGCAACAAAGTCTCATCACAAGGTCTACACATTAGATGTAAAGTTGTCAGAAAGATCAATCTTCTAGAATAACTTTATTAAAGTGGTTAGAAAAAAAAGATTTAGTAATCTCAAAAACTTTCCCAGATACACCATTTAAAGCAAGCTTATGGAGAAGACCACCATGTTTAACTTTTTCAAAAGTTTTAGATATATCGCGAGTAATAGATTTAGTCTTGCTGCGTCCAGTTTCAGAAAAGTTCTTTGCAAATAGTTCAGCCATATTTAGGAGAGGTAATAAGATCAGTCCCATGAATGAGATATGGCATGTTAGACATACCTTTGTTTACGGCTGTTAAAGATTTTCCAAAAATCTCTAGAATCTAACTTCTGACAAGTTTTAGTGAATTGAGAATAATAGAGCATAGCACCAACACTTTTTTTGCATATTGATGAAAAAAGTGATTATGATTAGATATAAGATGAAAACCATGGAGTAGAATGAGGCTTGAAACCAATTGGAATCAACAGGAACAAATAAAAGCATCCATTCCAACCTGGATCCAGAATTACCTGTATACCTGGAAATACCTGGATCCAGGATTACCTAATCGGGGATTCGACTCCCACCACGTCCCTGGAAGTACCACGCTCAACTTAATTTCTCAGCGCAGCGGCCTTGCTTGTCAAGGTTCGTGTTTCGGAGTTAAAGAGTTTAGAGAGGGTTGTACCACAATTTACAAGAAAACAAAAAACAAAAAAAGAAACAAACAAAAAAAAGAGTAGCCTCCTCGACTGTAATGGCCCCCTCAGGCCTTGGGGAGGTGAATAATTAAAAAAAAAAAAAAAAAAACCTAGAAGGCAAATTTATCAGTTGAAAAAAAAATGACATCAGTTTCAGGACTGTCACAAAAATTATGAAAAGAATTCCAGCCAGCTTAGGGGGGTTAGCTAACCCAGAGGTAGTAGTAAGTAGTGTAACTGATTGAGAAATGCAGAAAATATGGGCTGTTAAAAGATAATTCATAAAATCAAGAAACTATTAGGAATTCCTTAGTTTAGTGAAGTTCAAATGCTTTTAACATCAATACTATTCTAAAATTTAAAAATTGGAATAATATCTGCTGCAAAAAATCTCAAGCTAACTGGTCTAGAATGACCTGTTGGCTACTTTAGTAAATAATGTGTTATAATATTATTGAAAATTATAAACTCTTCAAACTCAATTAATTTTTTTTACGATAGTACCCATGAATACTAAGATCTGAAATGAACAGTAAAATTTAAGTTAGTCTCAAAAAAAGCAAGCAAGTCTGGTGAATTTTGCAAGAAGTAAGATTCAACTGAAGGAAGGTTACTTCAAAGACTATGAATACTTGTGAAAGATATATTATGTAGTGGGGATGATTTTTTATGTTGGGCTGTTAAAAGACAATTCATAAAATCAAGGAACTATTAGGAATTCTTTAGTTTAGTGAAGTTCAAACGCTTTCAACATCAACATTATATGGGCTGTTAAAAGACATTTATGTTATATATTTTGGATTATTTTAGGCATGATTTAGGTTTAAAGAGAACATGACTTATTTGTAAATAGAACATGGCAACCCAAGAAATGAGTTATGCAGTTGTTTCAGTATTGGTAAATAACCCAAAATTGTAACTTAGGGCTCTTTATATGGTCTCTACAAAACACCCCAATTGCATTAACAGGGATACCATCCATGCGCAACACAGCACTGTTAATACTCTGATATTTTACAGCTTTGATGGAATTAGCCTCTCTGAGAGCTACCACAGAGTTCGGGAAACTTTACTACCAGCTAGCATTAGAACTATTAAACTGAGCTGTACCCTCATTAGGAGATAACAGTTGCATAACCACTATCAAAAAGGCACATATCTGTAAGTAGAGTCAAGAAGATCTGCCATTCATTATCCGAGGCAAAGAACAATGTAACACTTATTTCAAGGCTGGTAAACAGAATTATTCTGCCTATCCCAAAAGTCTTTGCATAGGAGGCGTTTTACAAGACAGTAGCTGGATGCATTTAATATCTGCCTAAAATAAGTATTTTTATTGAGACACCATCCCTAGCCTTTACTCAACCAAGAGCTCCAAGGCAGAGGAATTTTAGTTGGATGCAGTTAAAATCTGCCCAAGATAAATATTTTTATTAAGACACCATTTCTGGCCTTTATTCAACCAATAGCCCCATACAGGGGATCTTTAAGTCAGAGTTTGTTTCTCCTAGTCTTTGCCTAAAAATAGTAAACTCTACAAGGCAGCTGGGAATAGGGGAGGTAGTATGGGTTACATGATACCAGTAGCAGGGTGGTTGCGATGATTCTGAACCTGATCTGACCTGTATTAGTTAAAGTTACTTCCTTTTACTTTAAAAGAAGTTACTTCCTTTTACTTTAAAACATTGATGGGAATATTTTGGAAATGCATTAGGAAAACATCACATCTAACCAAATATTAAGGTGAGCGTAGGTTTTATAGTTAGAGTTTATTAGTTAGTTACTAAGCTTACACTGCTTCAGAAATTTTAAACAGAATACAAACATACATAAAGTAACTTATGGGTGAACACTGGCCCAGAGGTTCAGACAGAACACAAATATACATAAAGTAACTTACAAATGAAAAAACAACCTACAAGAGATTCAGAAAGAACATAAACATTCATAAAGTAACATTCAGGATTAAAGAACACACCTCCAGAGGTTCAGAAAGAACACAAGCATGCATAAAATAAATAATGGGTTAGTGAACACTGCACCAGTAGGTTAGACAGAACACAAACATACAAATAGCAACTTATGTGTGAGTGAAAACTGCGCTAGAGGTTTAGGCAGAATACAAACATATATATGTATATATATATTAACTACAGTTGAGAGAGAAAGAGAGAGAGCAAAAGGAAACTTTAGTTCCAGGTTTAATTTTGTTATTTAATGGGAAACATTAATGCAGTTTTAATAACACTTTCTTAATCAAGAGCTCTTTTATCATCACATAAAATATTAAAGAACATAAAAGTTATGTGTGATGCTGAAAAGAATCGACCTTAATAACAGTCAATTTTTATATTTGACTGTGATTAAGGTCAATGTGTATGTAGTCTTTCACTTTTTACACTTGATTGGTAACATGAGTCTGGCTGGTGTTTAGTAGGTTTTTTATGTACAATATTGAATTTATGTGTTTCCGTTTATTTTTTGTCAATGTGTGACACAGCACATTTTATGTTTACTGCAATATCACAAACAATGACTTTCAATATCACAAACAATGACTTTCAATATCACAAACAATGACTTTCAATATCACAAACAATGACTTTCCTCCACACAATGCTTAACACTGAATACTTTTAGATCATCTTTTAGATCCTGAAAGAAAAAATGAAAATAAATTTTTGATATTTATGATAAATTGTTGATTTTTATGATAAAAACAAACTGTTTATACAAAAAAAAAGTTCAGTTTTTCAAAAAATAAAATATTTTTCTGAGAAATAACTAATTTTTGTAGAGTAAATTTAAAATACTTTGCCAGTGTGATAACCAGTGTGTCTTTCAACAAAGTTGCCAAAATTGAACTCTTGTTTTATAGGTATCCTCTAACCTATAGTTCCAGTAACAAGTTGTGAAAATAAATGCCTAACTTTTTATTAAGGATTTTTCTATTTAAGACTTGAAAGTTTTTAACTGTCTAGAATAGAATATTTTATAACAGTTTTTTTTTTTTTTTTTTTTAATGTTATTTCACCTCCCCAAGGCCAAGAAGGCCACTACAGACAAGGAGGCTACTTAACTCCGAAGCACGAACCTTGATGAACAAGGCCGCTGCGCGGAAAAACAAGTTGAGCGCGGTACTACCAGGGACATGGTGGGGATTTACTTAGTTACCATACATATTAGATAAGATATCAGGCCCAATATCTGTTTCAGATAGGACTATGATTTGATATTTAGTATCTTGTAAGAAAATAAAATAATCTGGTTGATTATACCAGGTACTTCATGTTTGTTAAAAACTATAAACTTCATGTTTGTTAACAAACTAAAAAACTTGTTTTAAGTATTGATTATAATTATTTTATTCTTGAAATTACACATTTTAGATTGCTGTTCAAATCATTTGGCAATTGACAGAATAATTAAACAATTTATAAATTTATAAAAGGGATCTTCCATAAAGTATATATGTCTTTATAGGGGGAGGGAAGTTACCCAAAAGTGTACGAAACCATACAAGAAAGGGGGAGTGCTAAAGGCATTGAATACATAAACGGACTCTTATTCTCTATGTCTCCTACAACTTGATTTCTTTTTTTAATAAAAGCATTGAAAATCAATATTATGTTATGTAACTGGGAAATGTCGAATTAACTAAATATTTTTTTATTTTAATGTTTTAAAAAATTTCAGGATGTGGAAGCAGGGGGGTTTATAATAAATAATGCTTACATTCTCATTGAAGATAGGGCTTGTTAAAAACATACAGGTGCATATAAGAGGGAGGGGGTCCTAAATCACTAGTTTTACTGTGTATGTACTTTATAGATAACCTTAAATTAATTTTTTCAAAGACCACGGGCTCTTATTGTCAAAAACTGAATTAAAGGAATAAAGGATTAAAGGGATAAAATTTTTTTTGGTAAATAAGAAAGTATTAAAATTAACATGGTAAAAGTTAAACATAATTATTTATTTTTTGACAAATTAGAACCTGCACCTATGGCTGTATCAGTTGGTGTTTTGAATTTTAATTAGTTAAACTTTAAATAATAAGAACAATAACTAATATAATTATTAATAAATAACAATAATAGTTAAAACACATAAACTTTTAATCTTTAATATTATTTTGTTTATATATTTTAACTTCTTTTAG